TATCCTCCGTGAGCTGCACCTATCCTCCGTGAGCTGCACCCATTAGTCTCTGAATCCGCTTCAAGGTGCTGGTCGCTACCTATAAAACCCTACATGGCATCGGACCTGGGTACCTGAGAGACCGCCTCCTGCCGATTACCTCCCATAGACCGATCAGATCTCACAGGTTAGGTCTCCTCTGGATTCCATCCGCCAGCCAATGTTGGCTGGTGATCCCCCCGGGGGAGAGCCTTTTCTGTTGCAGCTCCAGCCCTCTGGAATGATCTCCCTGTCGAGATCCGGACCCTTACGACCCTCCTGGCTTTCCGCAAAGCCACCAAGTCCTGGCTGCTCCAGCAGGCCGGGGGGCCTGTGAAACATCCAGCCCCACGGAAATTGTGAATGTTGTGGTTTTGTTTTTAAAGTGTTGTCTTTGTCCCCCTTCCCTTGTCTATTGTGAGCCGCCCGTAGTCCTTCGGGAGTGGGCGGCATACATACAAATACAATACAATTGTTTGCTATTTTCATTTTTTTGAATTACAGTATTAAAAGTTTTTATTTGTATGATTACTTATACATTTCTCTGAACCAATTTTCAGCCATTTACTTATTCTTGCAAACCAGCTGATTATTAGCTCAAGGAGAGAAAAATGGGCTAAAGCAGTTGTGATCCATGCATTGAGAAAGCTGTGGTTTATCATCGGATGGAACTCTATAGATTACATGAACACTGCTGCTGATCTTATTTTGAGAAACATTACCATCATGTAATGGACAAGTGCTATTCTGCAGCCTAAATAGTGTAGCTTAAGTGCCCAGAAACCCCTATAGGCTTCATTCCGTAAAAGTGTAGAAGACAACAGGATTCTGGCTCCCAGCAGACTATGTAATTTGCAATGTTTTGTTGGCTGTCTGCTTACTTTGCTTCTTGGGAACAGAAGTTATATTTCTGATAATAGTAGCCAAAGTAGAAGTCCCATTATGACAGTATAATGCAGAAAGTAAAAAAAAAAATCGCAGCCACAAAAGCTCAGCATGTACCTTTTATTTACACAGTGGACTCACTGACCACCTTTATAACATATCCTCCCACCAGTGTTTGGCAGTGTCTAAGCATTGTTTGACAACCAGTTTGATGTAATGGTTAAGGCACCCTAGAAATTGGGAGACTGTGAATTTTAGTGCCACCTTAGGCATAAAGCCAGGTGATGATCTAGGATCAGTCACTTTCTCTCAGTCTTAGGAACGAAGCATTGACAATGTACTTCTGAAAAAACTTTGCCAAGAAAACTGCAGAGACTGTTCAGGCAATATCTGAGGATTGGACACAACCGAATGAAGAAAAATAAACACAACTGATTAAGTATGATTGGGGTTGTATTCTACCACATTTGGAGAACACCAGCTTAGAGAAGTTGGTATTATTTCATTTATATGTTACATTCATTTCATTTCTAATAGTTTCATTATGGATATTCTGTTTCCCTATGAGAATTGCCATGGCTAAATCAGGACACAAACCTACTTTTCTAATTACTATAAAATTTAGTACAAATATTGTAAAAGTTGTAAAATAAAAAAACAGATGGTAATTCATACTCCAAATTTGTGAATTTGAACTTGCATTTCATTTTCATCAGCCCAATTTAGCTCTTTTATTTTGAACTTAAATGGGATATTCTCAGGAAGCCAATGGGGTTTCTTCCCTAATTAATCATTCTCATAGAAAACCCATTGGCCAAGTTAAAACATTGCCTTAACATAATGTCATTTGGCTTGAGCTTAACAACTTTTCCAAACTCAGATGCAGTGAGGTCATGTATGAATCAGACTGCTATGGTTTGTTCAGCAAAACATAAAACAAACCCTAGCTTAGCACTGAGTGAGAACCCAACCACTGAAATCAGTGGGAGTTAACTTAGTCACAATTGATGCAAGTTGCAATCATCTTAATTGGCCAAATGGGGCTTCAGCTTGGAGTGCAGCTTCCGTGCTGTGTAGTATGAAAGGCAATTTGGAAAGGTGGAATATAAATGTTTCAAAATAAATAAGAATAAAAATGAAAATTCAGATAAGTATATTTATCTCCCCCATAAAATATTCAATATGTGCAGCAAAAACAAAAACATCAGCTTCTGCCTGTTCTTATAATAATTATTTTGGGGCTTTTTTCTTTTTCTTTGGAGGTGGGCTGGGGTGCGGGGAGTGGGTTCAGTTTTGCACCTGGGTTATTTTTTAATCTTGCGTCTTAAATGAAAGAACAGCATTTCAGAATCAACAGATGGAGCTGACAGAAGGAAGACTACATCTTTCTGTGGGAACACACACACATACACACACACACAAGACAACACCCAGCACCAACACAGACCAAGCTTGAGACCACAATAACTCCAGCAACAGTATCTATGGTAACACAAGCTCCTATATAACTCCAGCGAGTCACAGTTAATGAAAACCTTTGAAATGCTAGCTGTTTAATTGTCTTTCTTTTTTTTTAATTTTAGAGTTCTTTAAAAAATCATTGGCATTTAAATAATGTACGAAAGAAGCTATAATTGTATCTGCCAAAGCCCAAATTCCTACAGGAACTTCAAAGGCAATTATAGCAGAAAAGATAAAATTAAGAAAGAGAAAAAGAGGAACTCACAATTTACTAAAGGGGAGCAGAAGCAATGCTGCCATCTTGATCCATTTGGGGCCCCAGCAGTCTCCTGCAGAAACAACATAGTTTCATATGCCCCAATTTAGGGTTTCTGGTTGCACAGGGAGAGGGCAATTAAATTGGTGATGGCAAAAACACCAATTCCTAAATTCTAGGGGGCTACAATTAGTCTCTCTTTTTAGAATTGTAATACACACACACACACACACACATTCCACAAGTATCAACACCAGGTATCATGTCTAATCACTTACTGGCTCAGTTTCTCTCCTTGATCAGAGGCAATAGTTATGCACTAAAGTCAGAGAGCTTATCACAAAAAAAAATCACACTACAAAATGCCTTTACAGGTAGACTTCAACCTACAACCAATCATTTAGCAGCCGTTCAAAGTTACAACAGCACTGAAAAAAATGACTTATGACCAGTCCTCACATGTGCAACCTGTTGCAGCATCCCCATATCATGTTATCAACATTTGGGTGTTTGGCTACTGGCATGTATTCATCATTTTTGCAGCATCTTGGGGTTATTCCCCTCTTACTATGCAATTTTCCAATCCTACAGCAAGAGACCCCTAGGCTGATTTACTTCTCTATCTGCAGACATTTCTCCCTGTGGTGGCCAAAGAAAGTCTGGAATCATCCCTCAGTTTCATGAGGAGAACGAAAACACAATATGGCTGCATTCAATCATCAGCCTAGTCATATATGGTTTGTTTGGTTTTGGCTTGTGACGTGTAATGTTCAATCGCTGTATGTTGCTTGAGCCCTTGGTGATCATGCCATGGAGTGGCATGCCAATGATCTCTTAAAAGTCTCTGATTGTGGGCAGAAGCCAGATTTTACACAAACATAGAAGCAACACTACTCAATACTAGATTTAAGTAGCTTAATGGTATGATTTGTGGGTTTTCCATTTTTGGGACTATGCAGTCTTCAGATTATCCAACCCAGTCAGGAGGAGGGCAAGAGAGGCAAGAGAAAGGAGGAAAGGTTCGAAATTTTGGGCTTGGACAACCTGGAACTATCTGCCTATGGTCTTAACTAAGCATAATACACAAAATTGTCTGTTACAACGTCCTACCTGTCAATGACTATTTCAGCTTCAACTGCAATAATACACGGGCAAACATTAGATACAAAATCAAGGTAAATCACTCCAAACTCGATTGCAGAAAATACGACTTCAGCAACAGAGTGATCAACCCCTGGAATGCTCTATCCGGTTAAGCATCTAAACAGGATGCTTAATTAGGGTTGGTGAATAAACAATACTGGTTGGATGCCCAGAACACATTAATCTTAGAACTATCTTGAAGGAATCCAAAAGTTATGGCTAGATTCATGAAACATATTGAACACATCCATGATGTTCAAACCAAAACAAGACTAGACATAGTCTTTTGGTGTAATATGTTTAGTGAATTCAGGATATATTCAAAAAAATTACTATTACTAAGCCTCAATCAACTAGTTTATTAGTTTGGTTGATGCCTCTCATTCTATACTCCTCAATGCAGCTCTTTACCTTTAAGATGCTGACTGGCTTCAGCAGGAGAGTTTAGCTTAAATAGCCATAGAGGAGCAGCTGCTGATTCCTTTCCTAAACCTTCCCTTAACCTATCTTGCAACAGGTTAGCATTTTCTCGGTCTTTGCTTTTTTTTCTTCAAGAGGCTTTTGTAAAAAGCCAACAAACTCTATCTGGAATGAGTAGTTGAAGGGCATTTTTCAAATTCAGGTGAACTAGTGGAATAGTTACAACTATTGTAGCTACAACAGTGAGTTCATGTTGTGTGGTTGGTTGGAAAGTGTACTTCAGATAATCCGAAAATTCATTCTAAAATGTATTACTTGACAGATTAGAAGATGTTCATTATTTCTATTTTTCCTGTGGTAAAATATTTTTCCTCTTTGCAATTTGTATGTGCTGCACAGCGCAGAGGAATATTATGAAAAAAGACCACTTGTGCTTCTGCTCCAACCTAGTTTGTGGAAACAAGGAGAAGTTTGAAGCTGCAACAAGGGGACCTTGAATTAATTGTATGTCTCTGTATCTGGGGGCAAAATAATAGAAATGCAACTTAGTGTTTAGGATTTTGCTGCAACAATTTTTAAATTAGAAGTTACTTTGGGTTGATGCTTGTTTATTTTTAGTTTTCTTCTGAGTCTTCTTAAGAGGATGTTTCACTTTTGAGCTTCCTTGGATGTCTGTGGCTGGATTCATTCATTAAGCTAAACATAATGTGATTTATCTGAACTGGGTCAGTTTGCAACAAATAGTAATTTTAAAAATGCTGTCTTTCTACAGGGCTTCTCTTGTGTCTTCTTCACAGAGGAAGCATTCTATCCTACAATGGCTTTCAGGTGTGAATCCGAGCTGAAATGTTTCTTTCCAGCCCAGACCTCTAGATATTTTCCTCCCACTTCCCATTCTCAGTCTGCAAGAAGTAATTTTTTGCCACGAGAGAATATAGTGGCTAGGTGAGCAAGATTTTCCATTTATTTCTATGGGTAAAATCTTCTCTGAACTAAATGGTGAGTGATAAACAGACGGTTATTTTAAGAGAAGAAAAAACAATGAGAAGCAGAGGGGCTGGGCTTATCTGGTGGTGAAATCTCTTCCGTGCATCAAGGAAAACATTCCAGATTGAGAAAACCAACTTCTATTTCAATCTTCCTGATATTCTTCAAAGTGTGTTTTGGGAGCACAGATCCCAAAATTTCTAATCAATATTCAGTCGATATACATTGCTTTCTTGGGTTTGGCTTAGTTTGTGTGATTCTAGTCCTTGTGTAACATAAGGCATATATCATGGTTTAACAACCCATTGTAGTTCATAAACCAGATATAAGGCTTATGTTAATACAGTCAATTATGTTTTAACCATTGCTAAGCAAATAATAGTTTAGTGTGACGTCTCGACCCAATTCTGTTATGTCCATCACTAATGCTGGATAGCCTTCATTCCATCACTGAAGTTTTAATTATATAGTTTGTTATATAGCATCAGTAACATGATAACAACATAGCAATCCAGGTTTTCCTGGCCAGAGTTTTCTAAATTCTAAAAAAGAAAGAAAGATTGTTTTTACACTGTAGTTTTATTTACTTATTACATGAACTCGAGTCACTTCTGTGAGATTAGTGCCTATATAAACTTGTTTAATAAAATAAATCATAAATAATTGAATTCCATTGCATAGAAAATGTTGCAGGCAGAACTCCTCTTAAATATTACTTTAAGAATACCATCTTAAAATGCAATGGCTTTTCAGGAGGCATTTTTTTAAACCTCCCAGCATTAGTTAGATGAGATGGCAATGTAAAAGTTGAATAAAATATTTTTTCCATAAGAAATTTTGCATTTACATTGGCTGGAACTCAGATTTGTGTGTGTCCATGAGGAAGAGAATGAAGAGTGCACCCCCTTCTCCAGTCCTTTAACCTGATTCTAGCCCTAGCTTGCAAATGTTTGCCAATTTTGTCAGGTTGTGGCCATATATTGTCCCCCAATAGAATATCACAGACTTTTGATGGTCTTTCAAAAATTGCCCCATTTCTATACCAAATTCAGATGAAGAACACAGCATGCTAAGCCAAAAGCTACAGTTTGCAAGCCACAATCATTTTATTCATACAACATTAAACTAAAGACAGACCAAATTATAGGATGGTCCCAAGTATTAACTTACAATATGTTGAATGAATGTTGAATGTTGATTTTATTTATATGCTGCCCTTTTCCCCCGAAGGGGACTCAGGGCGGCTCACAACTCAACCAGGGAAGGGGGATACAAACAAAAAATTTAAAACGACACAAAAAACAATGCATAATTAAAACACAACAGTCATACCAATTCGAGGCGGGGGCAACAGTTCTTTAGCCCCAGGCCTGTCGGAACAGCCAGGTTTTAAGGGCTTTGCAGAAGGCCTGGAGAGTGGTGAGGGTTCGAATCTCCATGGGGAGTTCGTTCCAGAGGGTCGGAGCAGCCACAGAGAAGGCTCTCCTCCGGGTAGTCACCAGTCAACACTGGCCGGCGGATGGAATTCGGAGGAGGCCTAATCTGTGGGATCTAATCAGTCTAGTGGAGGTAATTGGCAATACAGTACAGGAGCAAATAGCAAATATGCAATAAAATTCTATCCACATTTGACCTATGCTACTGTATTTTTAAGACACTGGCTTTACATTTTTGCTCTTTTTCCTTATCCCTGGATAGGACACAGCAGAACTTTAATGATCTCAGCTCAAGTGCCTCTGAAAGCAGCTATTTCATTATCCCAGATCAACTCCTGATCAAAAAAATCGTGTCACAAATAGAGTTCTACTTTTCAGATGACAACTTGTTCAAAGATTTGTTCCTCCTGAGGCATATACAAAGGAACAAGATGGGATTTGTGAGCATAAAACTTCTGACAAGTTTAAAAAAGGTGGGTAATTTTTTTTTAAAAAAAGTTTATCTGTAAAGAGAGATGTTAAGTATTGTCTGGATCCAAGGGTCTGAACATCCTATCCTTCCCCAATCTGATGCCCTTCCATATTTGGAATGTCAACTTCTAGGATTGAGGGGGGAAAAAAACAGAAAAAGGTATCTTTTAGAAATGTAGATAACAAATATAGTTGTTCAAATGAAAGAAAAGTACTCCCTGTTTTAATACTCTGATAGAATCTTATTTTCCCAAATGTACGTAGATGAATGGTTTTAAATATTGTGTTTTTAAGAGTGCTCCTCATCAAGTATATTGGATTATCTGTCCCATCTACAACTCAAAAGTACTAACTATGGGGGTATTTGGAGAACATGGTAGGCACTGTAGCTCAATATATTTGGGCACCCCAGGATATGGAAAGACTGAACTAAAATATGAAATATTTTTTTCTTTTTAATATTTGTGGCTACTTCAGCTATACAAGGAATTCATAAACTTGTTTTCCTGTACTTTTTACAAACAATATCCAAGCCACTATGATGAGTTTGCCATTTTAGAGAGAGGAAAGAATAATTTTGGGGGGTATTTGTGATAAATATAAAAGATTATTCTTGGAGGTCACTTCCTTTCTTTTTCTTCGCTTTTCTTTTTTCTTGCACTTTTTATTCCTTTTATTTCTTTTGCTAAGTTTGAATTAGATTTTATCATTATAATTTTAATAAAATTGGGGAATTAGAGAGGTTTGAACTACTTCTGAATATTATCTGTATATTCTGAACTTTAAAGATGCTTTATCTCTTGTCAAGAAAGCTTGCATATCTTTATCAAGGTTATCTTACTCAATACTGATATTTTTCTCTTTAAAAAAACCTAGATGAGATGTTTAACTTGTAACTGGCGAGTGACCCTTTATGCTCTGCAATTCTCGAAGTTGCTGGAACTCAATGAAGATGGGACCAAAGTGAGGAGGAAGAAGCCTATCCCAGAAACCTTTGTAAATGTCCCTCTAAACAAGACGCTCCTTGCATGGAATGTCATTTCATGTGAAGAATCCGCTAGTTCTTCAATCCTGCTTCAAGAAAACTTTCTGGATACACTCACAAAACTGTTCGGGCCTTTTGGTGACATTGCCTGCATACGCATCTTCAGACCTGGCAAAAAGCTTCCCTCCGCAGTGAAGAAATCTACCACTTCTTATCCTGAGCTTTTGAGCAGATGGTGTGCATTGGTGGAATATGAAAGGTTGAAGAGTGCCCAAAAGGCTTTTGAAGGGCTTCGCCACAAGCAGTTCTGTTCTCCTGGGCAAAGCATCAAAGTGATCAACCTCTCTACTCTCAAAAGGATCAATGTGGTCATTCAAGAAGATAGTGAAAAGATTGAAGAGATACTAAAGCCTTTTACAAAATGGTCCAACAACTTACCAGAAGGCCCCGAAGACTTCTCCCCCCGCAGTTCATCTACAGAACCAGATAGTATCCGAGTTTCTACTCCTATCGTTCCTCGGAATTTCTCCTCTCCTCCAGTCATGTCTACAACTAAGCCTTACAACTCATCAGGTCAGGCCTATAAACCAATTTGCTCTAGCCGATCACATGCAGACGCTCTAGAATCATGCAAACCTTTGTCAAAGCCATTATGCCCCTCACCTATTTCTGCACCAAAGTCAGGCACATTAGAATTACAGAAACCATCCAATTCCTTCTCGGGCAATAGAGTAGGTCCAGGAAACATGGGGACACCAAAGTGGCGTGTAACACCCAATAAACAACCAGGTGTACAGAACCCAGAGTCTTTAAATTTACGGCCACCTTCCACAATCTTCCATAAACCAGAAGTTGTCTGTCCTACAGTGGTCCACCTTCCTCGAGGGCCTGATGGGACCAGGGGTTTCCCCAATATCAGAGGGAGAGGGAGAGGTTTCTTATAACATTAAACTTTGTGATTTACTGGCAGGGGGTGAAATCTTTATGCATGGTGATTGGACATTCTTTGGAATGAGTTCAATTCCAAGGAATCCAGAAGTCCAATGAATAAGAAGGCTCTGGAGAAAAAGACACAGTGCACAGTGTAAAACTGCCTTGTATGAATTGGCAGATACGTTTAATTTCTCTGTTTTGTTTCCCTCATTTAGTCTCTTTTCCTTTCCTTTCCTCAACTCCAAAGAATATTGCGGCTTTCAATATTTGCCTTTCGAACCCCAGCTGCCAGATTTTGTGTTTTTCCTTTCCCACCATTTTTTTTCTTTTCTTTTTGCAACATGACTCTTTGCATTGACAATGTATTATCAATGGATAAGGTGTCTAAATAATTGATAGTTACAATTGCCATTTAAGTTGTGCATTAATTAGACTTGGAGCACTTGCCTTGTAGTGCTGTGAGAAATTGACGAAGGATATATTGTTCAAGAGCAGACAATAAAAAATGATACTTCAAAGATTTTTTGCCTGTCTTGCTGTGTTTTTTTTTTTTTTGCTGCTTCTGTCATTTTTGCCCAAAGCCTTGGACAAGGACAAAGAACCAAGAGCAGCAAGGGTTAACATATTGTTTCCTTGCTACTTGGCCTCCAATCTGTTGAAGTAAAGGCAGCCTAGCCACATGCAACTGGACAAGTTAACCTGGTGATGACGAACCCATTGGGATAGGCATGTCAAAAATTCAGAAAATGCCTAACTTGGCTTTGCTGCAACCCCCCCCCCCCCACACCCTGAACACAAACAAACAAAATTTATTTTTTTATTTTAAAAAATACAGTCAAATTGTGTGTGATTCCCCAGGATCTGCCACACACTGCTTGCTTTCAGGCTCCTTTCTGTTGACATTTCCTGCTGACCTACCTGACGTAGCTCTGAGTCCATGAAGCTTTTGTTTTTGAAGCACCTTTGGATAATGCTCTTCTGCCACTTCCAAAAATCACATAAAAGCCTGCCACATTCTCACATGATTTTGAAAGGCCCAGGAGGCAGTGCAGGAGCACAAATGGCCTTCCACAGGCCATTGAGAATACATTCCATTGTCACACAGCCTCCGTTGCCTCCAAAACCTATCTGAGAATGATACATAGTTTCGGGAATAATTGCTGGGTGATGGGAAGTTACCTAAATGTAGTGTGTCATCCTTGGTGTGGCTGTCATAGGTTTACCATTACTGGGTTAACCAAACAGCTGTGAACTTTGAGATCATTCACCTTTAGGGCTTTGGGAACAGTGATCTATTCAATGGCTCCTCCTCTGGTCCATGACTCAGTTTCTATCATTTGTGATTTTAAAATAAAGCAAAATCCCATTGTTATAAAACTCAACATAGGAAGGACAAAGTGCTAGTTCATGCAAACACAGTTTAGCCCATGGAAATAACTCCCATCAGTTTAGTAAAACATTCAGAGGGTATTAGAATGAAAATCCATCAGTGGGTGTTATCTGAAAGTTACTGGTTAAGTAACAAGTATGAGTGGAACTGGGCTACTCAGTATTTGCTTCCTGTAAGGGAAAATGTTGTATATAATCAACTTGTGGGCTTCTCATTGTATCTTGTTAACTAAATATGAACAAGCCATTACTACATGGGCTTTTGGCCTGCTCCAGTGTGGTTTTATAGGGTGTGCAAGAATGAATGCAGGGATCAAATTTCTCCCAATATAGCTTGCCAGAAGAAAAATGCTAAATTGGGTGACACATTTCTGATATTTGATGACTACATGATTATCGTAGGCTACTCGGCTTAGTCAGATAGCTTTTCCCATTTCTTTAAGAATGAGAAGTTAAAGAATACATATGCTTGGTCATTGTCATTCATTGGAAGGACTTTTTTTGTTTTTGTTTTTAATTTCATTAGGATGCTCTCTTTGCTTACAAACATACAGGCATCACACACAGAAGCCAATAATTTTATAACTCCAAACAACCACCAAGTGTCCATGTGACAGTTTGCAAGGAATGGAGTGTGGTATTCAGTTTCGTATGATGGGCAATAAGCATTGTATTACGCTATAATAGAAATTAAACTTTGTAATTTAGCCCAATGTGGGTTTTAAGCATTAGAGTTTGGTCAATAAAACCTGGTTAATATTTATGGCTTATTAAACCTGGTTAATAATGTGGCTTTGTAGAAAGTCTAAACTGCCAGGGTTATACATCCACATTATCTTAAAAATAAATTCCCTGACAAAGGTTTATCTTGGTTTTCTTTGCTTGGCCATTGGTGCTGGGAGTATGAATCTTCCCCAGCCACCACCTATCTTTCCTGGTCATTATATGCAAATTCTACAATAGCTAAATCCATACCATTTCCTGTGAATTATTAAATAACGTGTCATCCCTAATCTTGATTGTACAATATTAAAAAATATAAGGGAATTCATTGAAGAATGATGTCCAGTTAACAGCATGGGGGGGGGGCGGGGGGGGAGGTTTTAACCCTTCAATTCCCTACTATTGTATTTCTGGAACTGGAACTGCATTGGGATAAATGAGGCTGAGAAAACTGATATATTTGGGGATTTGCTGCCCCTATTTCCCTGAAATGAAATATTACTTCAAAAAACAGCAGCATGCTTGCAATTGCTTGTATGTTAGTTTATTTGATAAATAGTCTGTCTTTCTTTTAAAAGTTCCAAACAGGTTAGAGAGCACCCTCATATTTCTCTCCATAGCAACCTTCCCATGAGGTTAGCTGGACACAGAGATTGGTCCTCATCACCCTGTATATTTCCATGGTTGAGGAAATACTAGAATCTGGGTTTCCTCATTCCTATTCTAACACCTTCAGTGCACTGTTCCAAATCTTTGCAACATACATGCCTGTTGCACTAGCTGCATTCAAAGGAATGTAATAGCCCTTTGATAGTATTACAATTGAACAGAATGGGACTTTCAAGCTCCTACCCTTGGCTGCATCTGCTTCTCTGCTAGGGTCCCACCTCCACGCATTAACCTAGCTTTTCTCCTTAGCTGGCCCATCCCTAGCTTTTCGCCCTGACCAATGGGTCACAGCCACTCCGCCTCACACCCTTCGGCATGGCCCATTCGCTGAAACAGTTTTTGTCCTTGACCTTTGGCTTCCCTGGACACTTAGCTGCCAGCCAATTGGCTAACTGCCAATGCTGGCAGCCAGAAGCCATGGTGTGATCGATTGCAGGTTTTGGGGGGCTTTGGGGGGAGGTGCTGCAGCCAAACGGCCTCGGGCATTTGTTAGGAAAAGGAAGGGGAGGGGATGGAAGCTCCCTGACATTGAACAGGCAGTGTTGTTTCTGTGACTGCCGCCCGGATTTAGTTGGAAGGGAAGAGCGGGGGTGGGGGTGGGGTAAGTAAGCTGGCTTCATCCAAAGGAGTTTTTGTTTCAGGTGGGTATCCTAGCCTTAGAAGGAAAGAGGGAAGCAGGAAGGAAAGGGGGAGAGAAAGAGAGAAAGAGAGGAGGGGAGGGAGAAGAGAGACAATAAAGAAAAGAAAGAAAAGGAAGAGAAAGAAAGAAAGAAAGAAAGAAAAGGGAAGGGAGAAAGAAAGAGGGAGGGAAGGAAGGAAGAGAGGGAGAGAAAAGGAAGGAAGGAAGGAAGGAAGGAAGGAAGGAAGGAAGGAAGAAAGAAGAAAAGAGGGAAGGCTAAGTGAATGAGATATGGATGGATGTATAGAGGGAAGGAAGGAGAAAAAAAAGGAATGGAAAGAAGGACCACAAATCCTGGCACTAGATGCAGCTTCAGAGGATGCTTTGAAACAGCACAGCAACCCAGGGCTGGGAGGGACCTCAGAGGTCATCTAGTCCAACCCCCTGCTTTACCAGGAGACCTTATATCATCAGGGTTATTTTGGTGCCTCTAACGGAGAGGAAAATTCCCAGAAAAGGGAAGGAGTTTAATAGGACAAGGCTGCCATGCAGAGGAAGGCAGAGATAGTCCCAACGTATGACCAAAATTGAGCCCAAAGTTTTGGTTGCTAAGCAAGAGCATTGTTAAAGTGAGTTTCGACACATTTTACTCAATTCATCCTCCAAAAGTGGTTGTCAATCACTGTCAACCAGATTGAGAATTTGAGAGCAAAGGCCTGCCGGATTACCGGTGATTGACATACTCGTAAGGGAAGGGTAAGGGTACCTCTCAACTTACTGTATGTCCACCATTGAGCATCGAATATCTGTTGATAAGCAAGACAGCTGTTGAGTGAGCTTTCACCCACTTTATGACCTTTCTTGCTACCATTGTTAAGCGAATAGTTGCAGCTCTTAAGTAGTTGCAGCTCTTAAGTAAGTGAAACCGGCTTCCCCGTGGACTTCATTGGTCAGGTTGCAAAAGTGGATCGTGTGACTCTGGGACACTGAGACTGTCATAAGTAGGAATCAGTTGCCAAGTGTCTGAATTTGGATCCCCTGACATTGGGATGTTGCAACGGTTGTTAAGTGTGAAAAACAGTCATACGTCTCTTTCTCCAGTGCCGTTGTAACTTGAACAGTCGCTAAGTCAATCACACAGTCGCTAAGTGAGTCTGGCTTCCCCGAATCTCCATTGCTAAGTGAGAAAGCTGTTCTGTGAGCTTGGACTCATTTTATGAGCTTTCTTGCCACCACTGTT